TTTTTGATAAAGTGCTTGAGGCTGCAATCCAAGGTCATATGGTGACCCTGATTATTTTAAGGATCAGTTGTATCTCCAAAACCTCACGTGTAAAAATCACTTTCAAGTCAGGACTCGAAAAAAATAAAAGTTTGGAGATCATCTTATACTCTTTCTGGCATTTAACCATTACTGGCGGTATTTTCAAGCTTTCGTTCAAAACTAGACTGGCAAAAACTTACTTGCAAAAACTTACTTGCATTAAAGAAAGAACGTGGACATGCTCATACAATGATAATAATGATAATTCTAAGAACTACGACTTTACATATACTCCAATTATTGCCCAATTCGCAATGAATTAATAAGATTAAGGGACACCAAGGACAGTTAATTGGAATCTTGTGAAATTCTTCACACTCCAGTTACGAAATCGGTCTGATCACGTCTGACAGCCTGCATTTTCACAGGCACATTCAAAAAGCTTTCCAGCGCTCCTCTTAGTCCTCCTTGGAAATGCAGACCTGTTTTTAACTCTTCATTTTAACCATCAGACAGAGAGGAGGGGGAAAAAAGTGCAGAACATTATTTTCATTCTCTCTTGTGAGCACTCCACAAATAGGCGCCTGACGTGCACTGTAATGACCGTAATGCACTAACAGAAGGGGTTGACAACACGGTTAAAAGCAGATTTACCACACTGGTCACGGAGAAGAAAAAGGAATAGGCTTCAGGAACAACGTTAAAGTTTCCAGAAGAGAGAACAGAAACATTGAGAGTAGGCCTGTGCCACAACTAATGTTTGAAGTAATCGCTGAAAACAAGGCAAAAAGGTATAGGAAAACAAAAAAGAAACAAACATATAAACAAAAAAAAACAAAGCACTGTGGGCAGATTAGTATCATAAGCAGATATCGAATGTGTCTTAATGGCGCAGTTCTGCTACTGTGCTGAGTAATGGGGGAGTTACTCGGTGAAGTATTTGTTGCTGAGATGCAAAGTGGGAAGGGCAGAAGCTCCCTGCGGCCCTGGGCGCACGGCAGCAGAGAGGGGCTCTGCGCCTTGCTTGCAGCATCCCTGGCAATGCTCAGCCTTGAGCCAGAAACCCAGCGCTCCCTGCGGGCACCCCTCCATGCTGCGGTCCTCGGTGGCATCCCCGATGGAGCGAGCGGAGCTGGTGCCAGCACCCACGCGAGGCCATCCCCCTCCCAGGGGGCCACCTGGCATCGCTGCATGCCCAGAGACCGCAGTACTGGCATAGCTGCGCGCATCCCAGACTTCAACACTGATTTTGTTTTGCCAAGCACAGCGCAGACCTCATTTGGTGACAAAGCCTCCGCAGCTGAGGCCGCTCCCCACTCCCCTTAACACATCAGCAGAAACAACTGCCTGTTAAATTATATTTGCCTCCTAATCGGTATGTTTAGCTCCTATTCCCATCACAGGGTTTTAGGTCACTCTGGCTAATAAACACGCCTCCTTCATTTTCTCCTTCTCCGTCTCTTATTCTGCAGGACTGTTCATCTTTTATTACCCTGCCAGCCCGTTTGGCACACTCCCGCACAGACAGTTCAGGCGATGCTCACGGCTCTTCGGGGGCTCGAGTGGATGAAGGCTCTAGCGAAGCCCGTGCCTGAGCGCACAGCCGAATCCCGCTCGCCTTGCTGGACGCGGCACAGTTCCAGGCTCGAGCACGACCACAGCTCCTCTCCGAAGCCGTCCTTGCCACGGCCATAAACGCAAGGACAAGCTACCCTGACTTACACATGCTCCAAAAGCACCTTGCTCCCAGAGTACCTAGAAATAAATACGAAACAGACACGTATCAACAAATCCACAAATGGAATAACCGTGTCTCACCTGCTGTGACCCCTTTCAATGACAAACCCCACAATTTTTCCCAGGCTATCCTTTATGGAAGCCAAGCACTTAATCCAACACAGAAGAAATGAAGAAAACCAGAAAGATTACGTTGTTCACGTAACATTTAGCTATGCAGCTCTATATAGGTGTCCCCTAAGAACTTGGGCTTAGTGGTTAACAGAGTTCTCCTCCCGTTTTTTTCAACGGCAAAAAATAATTTTAGATTTCTAGGGGACTTAGGCCATGTAAGAGCTTGAAAGGATACACAGCGTTTTTAAATGGAATATACCCTTGAAACCAAACGCCTACTTCTATAAGCTAGCACAAATACTGATGAACAGCCAATAGTCTGCAGGTAAACTGTGGCACCAGCTGCAGGTCTAGAGGAAAAAAACCATACACGTTTAGGCTTAATCGAGGCTGTTCAAAGGAGATTTTTAAGTAGACACGTAGGCCCCGGTCAAAAATTCTGTCCTGATATACTCTTGAATCCGGGTCCATTTTGTTTGAAACTTTTAATGGAAAATCTTTCAAGAGACTATAAATCTAAAAACTGTTCCACAATAATTAACAGGGCAACGTGGAAGGAACTGCAGGAGGTCTGACTCTCTGGTACGACTGAAGACTAACGTTACGTTGTAGAATAGAAGACGACAGTGGTATGAAAGGTACAGTAAGCGAATATTGTTAATATTACAGTTACGTGTATTTTCAGTTTTCCCTTACTAAATACATTGTACAAATTGAATTTTCCATAAAGGCCAGTAATAATATTTACGATATTACAAAGCCAAGTAAAATTATGCGACATTAAAGCAGAAATTTAAAACAGAAATAGGAAGAACGGTTACTCTTAAGGCTCTTGCCTTTTTAAAATAAACAAACGAAAAAACTCACAACAAGACACAGTGGTTATTCAAAACAGCTAGGGAGTCCAGGACCTTCAAGGGAACTAAGGGTTCCCTCTCTATTATAATGTAACGTCTCAGCTGGAGATCACAAGGCCAAATGCGCAATATTAGCCGGAAATGAACTGAAAAAACAGTAATATCAGGGAATATACACCAGGCATCTCCCCTCCCAGACTCCATCTATTATAATGCTTCTCAAATAAAAATAGTTTTAAAAAAACTACCAAATTAATAAACTAATTTAAAACTATCGCCAAAAGTAACCTTATCAAATAAGCAGCCTGTGTGTGTGCAAGAAAGATTTCAGTTCAATATTTCAAATGATTATTTTCTACAAGAGTAAACGAGAACAATTCGGGAAAAAAATGTGTCAATTGCCCCATTGCAAAACCCAAGAAAACCAGAAAACTAGCAAATCCCGAGTCAAAGAGTTTGATAAAGCATCAATGGCAACAGCACATGTGAGTAGCATCCCTGTAGGGTTCCCAGGGGAACGCAAGTACCTGACAAATGTGAAACAGAGCATTCCTAAAAGCGACATCGTGGATGCCTGGCACTATGAATCTTTCTTCATTCCTAAACACCCGTACCTGTAGATTTCAGGGATGTATTTTAACAAGGATTTCATCTAAGTTCACATTCCTGTTTCTCACATAGATTTGGAAGAACGAATGGCATGTACGTGTGAAAGTCACCAACACAGAAAATAACTTGCAACCAAATACACCCCAGGCAACTGTTTATCATTCAAAGCCTGGTTCCACAGGTTTTGTCTGTCTTAATATACAGTTGCTTGTTGATAAATGCATTAAAATAGAGTTCCTGGAGAAAAAAAAAAAATACCTTTTCTTTGTTTCAAAAATAGTAACCGAATGAGAAAGATGCATTAACCTCACCACCTTTGTCTGAGGTGTTCCTGCTGTGATTACAATTAGTTATCTCCCAGTTTGCTTATTTCTGAACGGACACTGATTTTGCCCCCATTAGCAAATAACGCAGTACCGTAGGAACAGATCAGCAGACAGACGCGTTTGTGCTCAGCTCGCACCCACGCTGTATCCTCTCTGAGGCTCTTCTTTCTGACTAGAGTCAGTCTAGTCCCCTTTACTGAACGTCCCCACCACACACGCTGCTGAGGAAGAAAAGCGTTCTTTGCAAACACGAACCAGTGGGAACATGGCCCACAAACCAATGGTGACATTAAGAAGGGTACAATATATAAAAACACTTGCGAAACCCTGTCTGACAGGGATTGAATACACACTTTGGGGGAAAACAGCTAATAAGGATGCTGTAGAATGCTTTTTGGGCCAAGCACTGTGACCTATGGCATACTGACCATGACTGTACTCCACAAGACCATTCTGAGCATATGCATCTTCACCAGCTCCTTTTCTTTTACAGTATACACGTTCTTGCACAACGTAAAGATTTTTAATAACCGCATCTTTCTAGGATCTTCAGGGCAGCTCCTCAAGTCCTACTGTTCTATTCTCTTTGAAAAAACATACCTTTAACGAAACAAGGAATTACACAGAAAAGGCTGCTTGGAGTGCAAAAGTACTATTCTCTGCTCAAGGAGCTCATAATATGACAGAGTAAGTGTCAGCAGAAATAGACTTAATACAGGTAAACCTTCTATATGGCATACATCTATCATACAGCAATCTTAGCAAAAAATCTTCCAAGCCTTCATTAAATTTTCTGCCCGAGTCCTCACAGTTACAAAGTACTAACACAGTATCATATGAGTTGAGCAAATTTAAACATTCATCACCTAATTTGCCCATAGCCCGGTTTCGTCCAGGGACAGGAACAGGAAGAAAGGAAGCAAGGGCTGTTATTACTAAACCAAATCAACCGTGTATTATTGCTTTAGGCAATTGTAATGATTATTTTCCATTAAAGTGAATTCAAAGTCCATTTTATCTTTCCTGCGTTTTCATTAAAAAATACGTTGAAAGCTCAAGCTTGCTGCAGTATGCGGTTTATAATCACTTCTGCTTCACAGTAAACGAGCAGACACATCGATTGTAGAAGACATCTCATTGAGAGGTCCGTGGGTCAGTGGTCAAGCCCACAGTACTCAGACACGACCTCTAAGGTCCTTTTGATTATATAATCATAAATAATGAGCATTAATAAATAATTGTAACTAATAAGTAAATCAACAATAAATTCCTTACAAATGCGAGTAACTAATGCAGTTCATAAACTCAAAGGCTGCTGTTAACAGTACCTTCCTACCTGCAAAAGGAACAGGCGCATCTTTATCTAAAGCAACGAGGGGAGGATCCAAAATCACAGTGTCGTTGTTTTCCGTTACGATCCCATGATAGGATGTCTCAATCCAGGGTTTGTGTTTGTTCACTAGAAAAGAAAAGGAAAACTACGCTTAACTGATTTATGTTTTACACCCAATTTGCTGATTTTATTTTTTAAAGTATTCAATATATTGCCAAAATTAATGTTATTACTCAAAAGCCATTAAAAAAAAATCTCCAAGTACTTTATAAACGTTCCAAAACTATAGGAAAGCGACATGCGTACTGTAATTCACTCGCGAGAAAAATAAAGCTAACAGACATCCCTCCGATTAACACACCAAAATAAAAAGACAATTTTCAAAATAATTTTAACGCATTCCCAACTGTCAGACATAATTCGCATCGAACATTTTTTCAAGAAATCGCTTTCTGTGGTGAAAGTCTGATCCAAGAGAAAGGACATCCATGGAAAAACAACTATGTCCCGACTCGAGGGCGAGCAGGAGGGAGGGTGAGCTACTAGGCTCTTTGTCTGCTGCTTCCCCCCCCCCACCCCCCTTTTCGGGAAAGCATCGAAAGTGACGTTTATTTTCTGCACTTTTTAGGGGGAAAAAAAAGAAGCTAAATTTTAATCACTTTGACAAAAGGAAGCCACTTCTTTCCTTTCAACTAGCTTTAGCTAATTGCATCCAAAGTTTTTCTAAGAAATCTGTCCTTCAGCTATGGTTGCTGAATGCTACGAAATCTGGTCTCTGAGTACATAGCAGGGTCACAGGAAAAGCCTCCGTCAAAACTGGGGATACACCACAGACCACCCGAACGGCTTATCCTTGCACCCCTCCAATACGCCTCTCTTGCACCAAACGCCTCCTACTAAATGGACAGTATGAAGACAGAAACGTGAATTACTCTTGCTTCTTAGTTTGTAGGGGACCTAGCTTTGCTATGCTTATAAACAGCATCTTGTTCACCTAGCCACAGTCTCAACGTTATGTTTGCGGAGCTATTACAGAAATAATACAACGGTGCTCCCCCAAGCACACGGCAACGCGAGGAGCGTACAACCTCCTCGCTTTCCTGTGGGCAGTTTCTTCAAAGCGGAAGAAAGTGGTCTCACACCAAAGGCGAAGGAGAGGGTTCCGGCCGCAGCAGAAGAGCTGTAGCATTAGCAACTTTCTTTGTTCACTGGCTACTTGGAAAAAGAAATACATTTGTGCCAAACTGAAGCTCGTTCTTCTTGTTTCTTGTTCCTTTGTCTAATCACTAGGGAACTGTACAGTCAGGAAGAACGAGCCGAGGTCCTTTCAAAGCTAAAACATTCTATTTTACAACCACTGATATAAAAGAAGTCAAAGTTCTGCTATGCTGGAACATGTACTCATTCAGAGAAAGGTATATTATTTTCGCAGCATTTTTACCCATCTTTGCAGTAACTAAGCAATGGGAAACTTAAACTGGGTATGTGGCAGGGAAAGGTGAAATGGGAAAAAGGGAACTCTGCTCTCTTCGTCTGGTAATGACTTTCATACAGCCAGAGGGGAGACCGGCAAGCTTACGTAAGGGGACGAAGGCTAAAAGCCCCGTCGGTGCTGCAATACGAGAGGTGATGGATGCAATTTCAGAGTTTTGGACGGCCTCTGGGACTCTGATTTGCAGGGCAGTTGAGCCATTTCGTATTTGTGATTTGGAGACGCGAATCGCCTCACCAGAAACATCCAGATGCATGAAATACGCTCTACCTGCGCTCAGCCACCGCTCCGAGGCTGGCATTGCCACATTAGGCACTACCGAATCAGAGGTGCGCTCCTGACTGCCAGCATGCACAATTTACCAGCAACGAACCAGCAAATAGGAGTTTGCATGAAAAGTGAGGTCCGTATGCAACTGGGATTTGAAGTCCCAGGGGCAGCTTTCCTTTCTTCCCGAGAACCGACCTAGACGGCTGTGTTGAACAATTGCCTGAGCTTTCACAAAAACCCTCTTTCCTCCCGCAAGGGACTCTGCAGGAGAGTTTCAATGATACTTTTACTTGAGGAAGAGCCTCAGCATGCTGCAGCGGGAATCCTGCCAGCCTCGTCTTTCTTCCATTAGTGTCCCGTGACCAATAACAACAATCAAACGAGTGGTAGCAACTAATTCCTGGTATCACGGTGGAGTGGGAAGAGAAGAAAGTACTCTGGAACAAGCGCTACAACTTAGCCCTAGATGTTACAGACTGGAATAGGAGGTAGAAAGAAACAGCAGAACAAACAAAACACAATATAAGTTCTGTATTATTTTCAAGTGCTTATGCTGTGCATCTTCAAAGCAACAATCGTTACCGCACAAGCATCACATAACCTGTGGCTTAGAAACTTTAAAAATAATGGAAAATTTTAAATCTAACTATGGGAGGGCAAAACAATTTGTTTGCATCAGAAAATCTACACGTTTCAAGTATTTCAGGTCGTTAAAATTTGTTCTCCTCTTACATTATTTTGGATACTTCTCTTTTAAAATGAGAACTCTGTAATACCGAGATTAGTGGCTGGTGTGCCAGTGTAGGGTCTTTTTTTCCTTTGCTAGAGGTTACTAAAATGTCAGCATAGAAACTCTTCTCAAATGAACACACCAACATACAGGCTTTCATAAGATACTAAATTTAAAAAGCAAGTACTTTTAAAAATAATATGATTAAGGAATACTTCACGTTTCTCCCCCCAAGACGGAAAGACGGCTACGAAACGTTAGAACGGTTCACAACAGTATTTATCCACAGCGCATTTTTCATAAACCACCTACCCATATACAGCGTTTTTATAAAAATGTTTTTTAAAATGATTTCAAAAAGCTACTGATTCGCATTTCAAGCTATTTCAGAAGTACATAGGTTTAAATACAAATAACCATGTCTTCCAGTTGTGCCTGCTTTCTGAGCATGAAATGTCTCCTCCCTTATCTTCATTTTGTACTCTCTCTACTTTTACAGCGTTAGGATGTTTAAAGTAAGAACGCCATCTGGAACTCACCCACTTCCTACTTCCTCCCCCTTGGAGCAGGACCGGTGCAGAACAGGACTTCTTGCAACTTAAGCAATATTTCCTTTTACTCTTAAGTTTTCTAGCTCTGACCTTCAAATAATTATCCTTTAGCACTGTATGAAAATAAGTTCAACACATGTGAGATAACCTGGATGCGAATACTTCTTAGCCTATGCTTATGTGCAGGGGAAGAGTTTGTGTTTTAGACAAGATACATACGAAACGTTGCCAGGAAATGACAGAAATCCCATGCGACAAGTTGACCTTGTAAGAGCTTTACCACTGTGAGCGATCTCCATATCTGAAAAATGGACCACTCCTTCTGAATGTAATGGTTGCAACCCACAGATATTCATGTAAATAGATACAGTTAAGCTTCTCGTTCAACTCATTTTTATTTTAAAATAATGTCCTGAAAACTATGTGAAAGCGGCATTCCTCTCTTAGTTACGTCAAAGACGGTCAAACTTTAGAACAAGTTTCCAAAGACATCATTAGTAATGCCACACTGCATTAAAAAAAAAAAAACAAACAAAAGAGCATATCATACTATCTACTTAGCGCTGTATTAAACTGTATGCTTAAAAAGAAAAAAATAAATTCATAGAACGTCCTTTAAGAATAACGTAAGAGGAACGTTTTGTGATGTTTATTAGAGCCTCTTAAAGATTAACATCCACATTTCTGGAACTCTTATAAACTTCAAAACAGGGTGGGATTTTTGTATTTTATTCTTAAAAAGAGAAAAAATCTGTTAAAAACAAGTATTTCAATGTTTCTCATTACTGGTTAAAGTTAAGAACATTTTTTGTAAAATAAAGCGATAGGAAAAGGCATTTTTGGATTTGTTTTGCTGAAGATGATAGAAGAAATTTATACACAGGTTTGCAGTTTCAGAAATAGGCGAGCACTGAACTGTAGCAAGCAAAATCCCCAAAAGCAAACAAGCTGGAAATTTAGCAGATATAAATAAGAGCGATATAGAAACCCGCTTTCCACCTTAAGTTGCATTAAGTTGTACCATACCCTTACAGTAATTTAAAACAGAAAAAAGTAATTCTAAAGCTGAAAAAAAATGAAAACACTCACATGTTCTGTTCTTTGCTACAAAAACATTCTCCGAAAGCATTTCTCACCAATTTACCTGCCTTGAATTTGCCTTAAGGTCTAGCTGGGGGTAGCAGCTGAAACCCATACTACAACTTCATAAATTCAAATTTGCATTCAGTTAAAAAGTACAGATGAAACGTATCTGTACTTTGTTTGTTGACTTCCCTCCCTTCCTATACTTGATTAGCCATCCATATAAAACTATAAAGTAAATTATTTGTAGCAGTTAGGATAAGACAATTAATTTTTTTCTTTAATTACAGTTAGAGGTCAATTCATTAAAATTGGTACGCACCATTTGCACTGCATTTCCATAGTCTGTGCTGCCAAAGCCTGTGATTACAAGCCTTTGGATTTAATTAAACCATCTTCCTGGAAAACTGCCACTCTGCGTGCCATCGGCAAACGCACTGGACACGCAAAACACCAAAGGGAAGGAAAAAAAAAGGCAAAGAAAAACTAACTCATTCTGCGGAGCCTGTAGGAACTCCCGAGCTCCTCCGAGTCCGGGCTTGAAAGTCAATCCAAGGACACAACCCAAAAGGCAGCAAAAGCAAGCAAAAGAGAAAGGCTGGGAGATGTTTAGAAACCAAAACCTGTGCCGAGCTGCACTCTGCCTGGTGGCCCTTTCCCCGTGCCCTGCATCGTACACGGGCTTGTGCCCCGTCCGAGTGCTGTGCCCAACATCGTGACGTGCGGTGGGGATACGGAGCAGGGCCTCTACCGCGCTTCCCAGCCCCGGGGCACCCGCGGGACCATTGCTCCCAGGCTGCGAGGCTTCGGTGGCTGCAAGGCAAATATCAGCCCCGGTCCCCAAGGCTCTCCAGCAACCCACCAATTAAAAAGCCCTTTCCTATGGGTATGGCTATGGCAGATCGTCACAAGTATTACTATACCTGAATCACAACACGGACGCAAGGCAGGAGGACAATACCTTGCGAAGAGAGGCAGCATCTCTTCTGCAAGCCAAATT